CAAGTCCTTCCCAAGGACCTGGGATAGGCAGATGTTGTCTGATGGTGTTAAAGGTATCGTCATAGGATGTAAGCTGTTCCAAGTAAAGCTGCCTTTTTCAAATGACTGATGGTGATTTTGTCAATGCCGATGGTCTTCAAGTGGTGCCCCAGATGTTTAGGGTTTGTGCCCAAGGTGCCTATTACTATTGGTACTACCTTTGCTTTCTTTTGCCACAGTCATTCTATTATTAGTAGTAGTAGTGGTAGTAGTAATGCTGACCACTACTCTTTTCTTTGAAAATTGAATTTATTGCAATGGACCATAAGACAAAGTTTTCCACTAATCATATCTCTGTATTTTGCTATTTCAGGTCTTAAATCCTCTACCTGGGAATTCACCATTGCCATAAAACATGCTAAAGTATCTCTGTTCTGTAATCACATCATGTATATATATCACTACACCTAGTATTTTACTACTCCAGAAGAAATACTTAGGCATACTGAAAAGAAAGTTTAGAGCTGATAAGCCAAATCTATTAATACTTGTCCTCTAACTTTCAAAACTGCAACAATTTCCTTTTCTGTTTCACTCTCAGCTAAAACCTGTTTTTCTTCCAATTATGCAATTTCAGTGATGTTCAGAGATTTTTTTGCAAAGTTATGCTCTATAAGGATACAGTTCCAAACAGGTTTTTTAAGTCTTATAGATTGAATGGAAAAGATAAATGCATGTATGCATGAATGCATATGCACACCCGTGCATACACACACATACAAAAATCTGATAACTACTAAACTGTTTGAAGAATCTGGTGACTGTTAATTAACCAATAAAACTTAGTGTTATTAGTGATCATTATTTTAATCTCCTGATTTAATTTTCACCAGGCTGCACATTAAAGAAAAGAAACATTAAATATTAAATAACCAATTCCAGAATAAGTCTTTGATTGATTGATATTTTTGAAATGTGTAAAGCATGTAACAGACAACACATATACTTAAAAAAAAAATCAAGATAATGTAATTTTGTGGAGAAAATTTTTGAAGAGAAAAACTAAACCTGATGGCGTAAAAGAGGTATGATACAAAATATTGCATTTGGGTTCAGAGGGCTGAGAGTAAGAAGCAGCTTAGAAACTCCCTTCAATCTTCACCTGGGGAAAAGAATTTTTGTAATAAAACAGCAGTTCATCTGTCTGCAACAAGGCAGAAAGAGGTCAACCCAACGGCTGTTAGGCTTTTAGATTTTAATTTAGGCAATTATCAAGGGACCAGATGTAGAACCTCTTGTCTACAATATCCACATGAGGTCACACTGATGACTTTATTATCCAAATGACATGTCCTAATAGGCTTTACTCTATGAAAACTGCATCACATTTCTTTCATGATGAAGGAAAAAAAAAAGACGAATTGTGCTTTACAATTACACATTTATTAATGCAGGCTTCATAACTGTAACAGCAGCTGTCAAGCACCTTCTTTAGAAAACAAACAAGATGCCTTAGAAATGCCCAATCATCAGAACAATGATTTTAGCTATCCTCATTCCACAGGAAAACAGAAAATATGTAACCATAATCATTGTGGTTTGGAAGGAAACTAACTTTCAAATTCTGCATCATTTTCACCACAAGATATATAGTATATTTAAGAATTTTAAGAAGAAAACAAGGATGGAAACAAAGTAATTGTCCAATATAAACGTATATATCTCTCCAAAATTTCTAAGCCAAAGAATTTAAAAAAAGCCAGAGAAACCCAAAACGAAGGGTATATATTTCCTCATGAAACATAGATTTGTTATGCAGCAACTTGGCAGCAATCGTTTGGACTAGTTATGACCTTGACGTTCCAATCATGCAAAATTATTTGCAAGCTAACATAGCAGGGCCATGGCAATTAAGAAATTGCAAAATATTAAATTTCAAGGTAATGAAGACTTTTGAAGTTTTTAAGTGCAAAGAAGTCATTCATGATGTCTGAAATGCCATTCAGTACATTACATTCTACTTAAGTTTCCATATTGATTATGCAGGATACAAGGGCTTACTCTAACAGATGGTACATACATAGGTAAAAGAGGATTTTTATTTATTGAATGGTTCTTTTTTGCAGAAACCTTAATGAACTTTATGGTGCAATCTTCTTCTTAAGGCCCTTCCTATGTCTTAAAATAGCAAGTTGCTGATGTTATTAATATTTCCTGAGACCAGTGGCTTCTTTTGCTTAGCTGCAGAAATATATGGAAATAAACTGACAAGGAGAATCAAAATTTAAAATAATTTAAAAGAAAAATTATAGCCAATATTCAATCTGATGGTATATTGTTTTGATAGAACATATTACATTTTAGGCTTAATTTCCAATAAAATGGTAAAATGCAGATAATTTCTCTCTGCAAATAGAAAATGAGATGTCTAGGACAATGCAGTCTGAAATAGGTTTAACAGCTTAGTAGAAACTTGGCTCCGATAATTTTGTTATATTCTACATATGTTTTTATTCCTGTAATTGCCTTCAGTTAATACATTCGTTTTTTTAAAAGTACAATACTATTTATGCAAGCAAACCCTAACCTGTTATATAAACCAATACTGGGCTATTTTAAATGAAGTTTAACAGTAACAGCAGCTATAATTATTAACTTCAAAGATTTTCAGATCTCTATCCAGAGTAGGCAGCTGTACGTAGCATCAGGAAAACATAATTTTTAGTTAATTCTGCTTAGGATCAAGCAACTACTGAGACATTTTAAAGCCAGATTTCATCTCTAAATACATACTTGAGATGCAGGATGTATAAGTACACCATAAGGAAGTGAAACCTATTTCTGAATTTCAGTGGGTTTGACTATTAATTATTTATATTCGTATTGTCGTATTTGGTCCTTAACATGTAACATCTTAAGTTGTGAAAGCAGATATTGTCTGTCTGTTTGATTAGAATGATAAAAGAAATATCTGAATGTTTCTTATCAAAATAAAGGTCAACACTATGTTTTTTGTTGTTGTTGACAGAATGAAAAATCCAGCCACCTTCTTTTCCTGAAGGCCAAGTATGAATCTATGTAATAGAATGGCCACAGGATCACAACTCAGAAGGATAAGAGCAAGTTCTCCATTTCATACATAAGCATCAATTCCAAGAATTTCTCAACTTGAGCAATGTCTAGATGTGTGGACTTCAATTCTCAAAATTCTCAGCAATAACCATGAAAGCTGGGGAATTTGGAGAGTTGAATGGCCATTAGCCTTGATGGGAGCGTGACTGCCTCTAAAGGCCTTCAGCTGGGAGACTAGTAGGCTTGTGGAGTTAGTTGGCCACTTTGAGAAGAGGCTGCTGGACTAGATGGGCCAGAGGTCCAATCCAGCAGGCATCGCCGCTTATGTTCTTAAATCCACACAGCTAGTAATTGCCTATAATGAGAAACACTGGTTTAAGTATTCGTTGCCAGAAGTCTAAGAAATTAGAGTATTTCATGTTACTTTGTTTGTGACAGGGCTGAGTCCATACGTAAGCTCTATTAAGCTTATATTAAATGAAAAATACCTAGAAGCAAAAAGAATACTATCCAGACTGCAGAAGTGCCTAATAATGAGATTCATTTTAATGTGTATTTAGGGACTTATGCTGCTTTTCTGTCCTGATAACTTTAATCTGAAATATTTTTTAAAAAAATTCAATAATAGCTGTTCAAAAACAGGCAATTACCTCTTTATGCTAAAAGTAAATTCAAACAGAAACACACAAAACCCCAGACTATTACTACATTCAGACGAGAGAGCCTTACAACAAATTTATGTTTCAGCCAGCCAACCATACCCTACTCCGGTACTTCATTTCATTTCAAATTCCCCCCCAAAGGTCAGCATCCATGGTGTTACACCAAATTCCATGACTACCACAAGTCTGGGGTTTTTTTACCAAATGCAAGTATACTTCTGCACTATACTAGAATTTTTCGCTGACTATTGATGCCTCTCTTTTTTGGGCAAATAATTCTGTTTTGGTCAGTTTTGGAAACAGAGGAAAGGATTGTGTTTTATAAGGGAAATGCTAAGAAATTTTCACTGTACTATTTTCATAAATTTATAGGATACATACAACTGTCAGACTGTCACAACTGTCATACACACTCTTAATTTCAAATGTGCCCTGCCACACATAAAAAGAAAAACAAAATAAGCCAACACCATTTGCAAAGAAAAAAAAAAAGCAGTGCTATTTTAACACAGTGGTGAGAGCACACCAAAAGGGAAAGGCCCAGGCACTTCATATGAAATCCTCAAAATCATTGCTCTTAGGTGTCCAACATAATTAAAATTTCTTCCCTCAGTATCACGATGGAGCACGTGAATCTATCAGGCATCTCCCACCCTTCATTTTCAATTCACCTCTCTCCTAAGCACAGCTCCCAACCCACCATGTCTACCTGACAAGTGACAGCCCAATCTGATTAAATGCTTGCAAAGGAGGGGACTTGCAGACCTCCATGACAGGCCAAAAGTGATCACCATGGAGATACATAATTACAGCTGTCAACGCATCTACTGTCCTGCTGGCATCAATTTGATTGCTCCCAGCAATAATGATAGACAAAGCTTAGCATGCACTCTCTTGCACCCAATCACTTTATCTATTTTGTGATCCATTTAGCTGACATGCAACATTCGCACAAGCAAATAACAGCAGTAAGCAGAACATTTAAGGCATTTTAATTGTTTTTTTTTCTTTCTATGGATGGCTCATAAGTGCAAATGTTATTACATAAAACTCCTGCTGCAGCATTAATTGAAGAAAGATTTGGTGGGACAAAGACCATAGGAGGTACAGTTTGTCCATTATCACTTGTACTTTCAACAGGTCTCATGTTCAGAATATTGCAAATTGCAAAAACTTGCAAGGACAAAATATTTGACATCCTGTTAGCTATTACACCATGGTGAAAAACCTCAACCTGCCCCCAGAGTAATTACTGGAAATTCTTCCTCAGTTCATCTGGTTTTCATTAAATATGCTTAAGACACATTCTGTAATGTGTGTGCATGTGTTTTTAAATCTTTCATTTAACATCACATAGAGTGTACTAAACCTCTACATTTTGTATTTCTGCTTTTAAACACAGCTTGAATTCTTAAAGCCCACAAAAGGTTCAAACCTCCATAGGAAGCATACAGCCAAAAAAATTTTTTAGAAGTCAAATAAATCCTATATTCAATTTCACCAAATTTAAGATTCAGGATCATAATATTTCCCCATTTTTCCCATGTAACTAATAATGGTAAATAATCATATTCACAAATACCTTGTATTTCACAAAGCCAACACCATTCCATACCCATGCATCCAATATTTTGTCTACCTTGAAGAGCAGAAATGCCCTTGCCAGTTAAACAACACTCTAAAAACAACTTAGTTTAAAAAGCACTTTTCATCACTTGTACAAAATTGCATTTCATCTTTTAAAAAAGCCTCAAAGCTAAAGAAATAGTAACATTCCTCACTGAAGCATTTATTACTCTGCAGAGATATGCAATTCAACATTTGTTTTTGCTGCTTGCTCTTCTAGATATAACAACTACTATTTTATAAAAGCCAGAATTATGGCATGGCTAGTACTGTACTTTAAAGAATGACTATTGAGAATGCTTGACTTTATTTAGATGTATACCCCAGGATGTGTGGGTTGTTTTTTTGTTTGTTTTTATTGTTTTGTTTTGTTTTGGTGCACTACAACTCATTTCTGATTACCACTGATTAATTATCTTCTTCCTTGGTTTATAAAAATAATTTAGGACAGCTAGCCTTAAGGAGTCCTGAACTCTTCCAAATCTGTTAAACACTATGAAATCTGTGGTTTCTTCATGCTTTGAAAATAAGAAATAATAAAACGTCAGAATTACTTACATTTGGGACATGCAGGGGCTCTTCGTACTGAGACAATCTGCCAATAGAGGGCAGACCAAAAGATTTGTAAGGGTCCTGAAATGAAATTCAAAACACAGAGTGGTATTAACTTTGTAAGACAAAGCACAGGAAACAAGGTTAAGCTACTGGGAAACCAAGCATTTCCTCCACTTTAAATTTGGACCAACTATATTTTGTTTTCAAAATGACTTATTTTAGTAGGGTTATGAATCTGCTTCTTCCATTCAAGTCATGGAAGATTTGTTAAAGCTAAAAACTTCCTGCTGTGCCTTTATTAAAGCAAGGGCAATCTTTCTAAAAGAAAGCACAATAGTAGGGGCACAGGCTAAGGGCACACAAACGCACACACACATCAACACTCCACAGACAAGTACTTCTGGAATCGTACACAAGATTCAGAGTTTTCAGGATCATGCCCTGTATAAATTAATAACACTATGATATTTAAGGCATAATCCCCAGTATAAATGCAGATTCGTACTGCTTGACACAAACATGTGGATAAAATTTCCACTCTGTATTACTGTGTTCAAATTCTCAGACATGTAAACTTTATTTGAACAGCATTCAGAAGAACAGGAAGACGAGAAGTCTTTCAAAGAGCAGACAACAGAATAAAAATAGCATAAAATAATGTTTTACCCAAAATAAAGGTAACTGTACAAATTATTCTAATGCTGAATTTAGAATAGAAAACAGCTTCTTCAACATTTGATTTCAAATCCCAATAGCACAGTTTATAAAAGTTAACCTGATCAATTCTAAATAAAAAGGACGTTTTAAAAATGCCACTATTAGTTATAATATCTAGCCATATTGCAAATGTACAGCAATCACACACATTTTGTTTTCAGACCGATTTTTAAAAACGGGCTCAGTAGGTTGCCTTTGCTTTCATAAGTAAGCAATGTTGTATGAAATGCTGAAATACCATTATAGAATAATCTTTTTTCCAATATGGTATATAGCTTTCTCTAATCTAGAGAATTTTATAAAATGAAAGGAAAAAAAAACCGTCATTCATGCCACATAGAATGGAACAAGATAAAAAGAAGAAATCTTAGGTGTTTCCCAACACCTAACAAGTTTCTTCTACAGCAATTCTCCTTCCAGCCATTAACAGTTATTTTACCTCCGCATATACTCGGCATTCAACCGCCCAGCCGTTGATGGGGACATCAGCCTGCTTGTGCTTGAGAGGGTATCCCTTAGCAACACGGATCATTTCTTGGACTAGATCCAAGCCGGTAATGCATTCTGTGATGGGATGTTCAACCTGCAAGGTCAAGATCTGTCAGTAAGTAACAACACAACAAAACTTTCTAATATCTCAACCTCATAACAAAAATTGAGGGGTGAGGGTATTAATTTACAATATGGATGATCCTCTTGTTGTGCAAGATACACAGAACTGTATGTCCATCATTTATTGAAGAAAACAAATATAAGCAATAAAATTAAGCAGAAGAATAATTGCAGGTAATGGCTAAAATAGATTGGATGGATGGATGGACAGATAACAATACATTTGTTTTGGGGGGAGAGACTTTAAAAAGGAGAACAACTTTTAATCTAGAAATACAAAAGCATTTTGACTGAATCTCAAATAGCTGGCTGATAATCAACCCGTTCTGCTACACTTAACATGGCATGTACAGGAGCAGCCTACAATCTTCCATAGAATCAGACTAGCCTAAGTCTTACCCACACGCCTGCTTTCACTAACCTGTCCTGACAAGCAACGAGATTAGCGTAATCTTACATCAATGCAGTGTAGCAGAAATGAGCAGATGGATCCTTCAGGGTTTTTTTTTTTCCATCCAGACTTATCTCTGTAGTGCTTAGCATGCACAATAGCAGAGCTGGACCAGTAGAATCACTGCATGCTCTCAACAAATAGCTGCTAACGGCTCAGGATGATGCTGTCATGGGAATACCCTCACTCCCCGTTAAACCAAAAAGGAGAGGTGTGTGCACTAGTCTTTATTACTATTAAGACAGATTTATATAATGTATATTTAACTTTGCAAACGTAACTTAAAATGATAAAATAAGTACATTTAAAGAGCAAATTAACATAAGTGCTGATCTATAATATTAATGAGCACCCTGAAGGAAGGAAGGAAGGAAGGAAGGAAGGAAGGAAGGAAGGAAGGATTTTCTTTTGTTGTAAAGTGCTATTGCAGCTGAAATACTATGTCTCAAGAAACACCATTTCACAAAGGTTTTTCCATCCAGAGTTGTCATACTTCATGTATTTTGTGACACAAGAAAAGGTCACTGAACAAACGAAGTATTTTAT